GACCTGGGATTGCCAATATTCTGGAAGCGTGGTTTAAATATCACAGCTCAGTCAGTGTCAGCCTAATGTGCCACTAGAGACTCCTCTGTCAGAGGTAATTTTTTTTTGGTTGCCAATTGTGATTTATTTTTTACTACATTTCTCGGACTGAGGAAATCTGTTACCAAATCCCATTGTTGTATTTCTCGCTGCTCTGTCACATCAAATTAGGGCTGGAAGTAGAAGGTGATTGGATGTGCCTTTTCCAAGATCGTTTTAGTGTTAAAGTACATCATGGGAATTTGTTGGGCGGGAGGTGGATACCAGCCATGCATCATGGGCCTTGGCCAAATTGGTACCAAGGCTGTATAAAAGAACTAACGCAGGTTTTGCAACCTTTAGTTGGCAGCCCTGGCAGCCGCTCCGTGTCTCTCATTCAAGTTCTTCCTTTCTCGCTCTAATTCTGAGCTTGTGGGTATTTCCATTGCACAGTCTAACCAACAAAAAGACCAGTTGCTTTTGGCCTTTGTGCTTTACCGAGGGACATTTAATCATCACAGCTTTACTAACTGCACTTTCACATCTGCCAGACAATACAATGGACCCACCAAACCAAGCCCTGCTCCCAGGACATTACAGCCAGACACAGAGTTGAATCGGGTTATTTCTCACAACTCTGCGTAATTGTGCGTACTATAGTGTTAGTGGAAGGGCTGTCTGTGCTTGACCACTGTCTGAGGCTTGAGCTGTCTGTGTGTATGCTGGAGCTGGCTAAGCAGATACAGGAGCAGTATATCACAGACTGTGTTCCTTGGAGTGAAGAAGCTAGGAGGACCGCTGACACATCTGTCATCGCTGCTCTTTCTCTGGGAGATGCTGATTGACAAGAACACCATCCCTGCTTCACCTAAACATACAGTGGTGTGCGGAGAAGCACCCAGGTGGAAAAAACAGCATTGAGGGAGTTGGGAAGAACATGGCAGCTCTGGCCTTTGCCATGAACCCCTGCCATCCACAGCTCCACACGACATGGCTGGGTGGCAGCGAGCAAGCCAAAGCTTCCATGTCAGCCAAACCCGAAGCCTAGAGAGTAGGTCAGAGCTGTTCGACTCAGCTTGGAGGCAAAGGATGGAAAAATCGGGCTTGTTTTCCCCCTCACACTGCCAGGCCTTTTACGACATGGACACTCCTGCTGCGCAACATCGGGTCTGGTTAGCTTTCTGGAGGAGGCTGAGGCTCTCTCGGTAGACTGATGAGTGGTCTCACAACCCGCCTCCAGCTCAGATAACGTAAAAGACCCCGTCTGGAACACGAGAGATTCATCCATCTTCACAAAATGATTTAGCACCCTTTCTTGACACAGTGAATATTCATGTAAATAAATAGAGTGATTACACATGGTGCTGTCAGCCTGCGGGGGAAGAGCAGTTGACTGAAGCTGACTTGAGGCTTTGAGTGTCCGTGATAAAATCGGCGGGATCCCTATCCAGACCGCAGCGAAGGGACCAGCTTCTGCCAAGCATGCGCCATTAGATCACAAGTGACGCTCTGTGACTCATCTCTCTGCTTCAAATGCACTTGACATGCAAACCACATGAAATTCAAGTGCAAAGTCAAACAAATAACAAAAGAAGTGTAACAGCGATACGGGTTACAGTGGAACTAGTCGACACCGCTTTAAACCTTGGACCAGAGGTGGGACCCAGGCATCATTAGACCATCCAAGTCAAGTCCCAATTCAAGGCAGGCAAGTCCCAATTCAAGTGCCATGTCCTAAACTTTTTTAAGTTTGTTACAACAAGTTCAAATCAAAAAGCAAGTGACTGAACAAGTGCAACTGATAAAAAGGCAGTGCTGTCATTGCACTTTCATATAGCACTATTTACAATCAGCACAACAGAATGAATTTTGTATGTTTCTGTCCTGTCGTGTTGTATTTAACTCATCTGAAATAGGAAAAATATCCATAAAGTCTCTTCCCAAATTGGCTCGGGGGAAGGTATCAAGTATTTTCAAGTCAAAAGGCTCAAGTCCAAGTGAAGTCACGAGGCATTGTTGTTAAAATCCAAGGGGAGTTGCAAGTATTTTTGGTTTTGTCAAGTCAAGTCTAAAGTCATCAAATTTCTGACTTGAGTCTGACTCAAGTCCAAGTAATGTGACTCGAGTCCACACCTCTGTCGTGCACCCTCGGACACTTTACGCACAGCTTTTGAAATTCCTCTCAGAGCTGAAACACAAGGCTTTCCCTCCTGTGTTCATCATATAACTCACGGCCAGAACCAGGCTGGGAGATAATGATGATAATACGTTTAAGTCCCAGGAACAGCGGGCCTTCAGTGAGATCTGATGACCTCATTACTTCTCATTAGTTTCCCTGAGGCACCTAGATGAAGATTTTAAAGGTGGTCCAGAGGTTAATCCTGCAGGGAGAATGAACCCGCTCCCCTGTATCAGTTTCTGGAGCTGCTGGACAAGCTGCCCAACTGCCGACTCGGCCATTGATCGCTGTGGGAGCTTCTCCAGTGCCACAGATAGCCCACGCTGTCCCAGATAGCCTTTTGCCAGATAACTGGACAGAAGGATAAATGTCTGTCATGGTGATCCCTTCCTACCCACCGCATTCTCTGATGACCTCTGACCCTCCAGCTTTGCCTCCCTGCATTCTAATTCCCATGGAGCCACACTGATGTGTCATCCACCTCATCCATCTCACACTGTGACATTATTACTTATCTTCTATTTAGAAAACAACATTTCCGAGCATTTGCGCCACAGCCTTACTGCGTCTGAGACAGACAGTGATGTTTCAATCAAAAACCTTGTCAAGTGCTACTGCTGCTGCAAGGATACAGTATTTCACACATCTGCGTTTCTCCTATTTACTGTCAATAACTGAGGATTGCACAACAGTGCTTGAGAGTACTGCCAGATGTTCTTGTTCCCCTTCATACTCTTTTATTTTTTGTTTGGGAGCTAAAAGTCAGGTGATGACAGGCCTGGGAAGTGTTAAGGGTAAGAGACAGCTCTGCGCTTTCCAATTAGCTTGGTGATTTATTAGCCTGCTCCTTGTATTGGTTTTGTCTTATATCAAACCTGACTGATTTACTTTAACAAGAAAAGAAGTGGATGAGAGGCAGATGGCTAAAAAAAAAAAAAAGGACAGCAAAATGCATTTATACCTCCCCTAGACTCACACATTCCACATCAAAATCTCCACAGCACTGCATAACTCCAGAGATCGAAGACCTATGTTGAGATATAAGATAAAATGAAGTGAATTAAATCTCAAGAAAAGATAAATAATATCAAATGATTGAATTAATGTTGTGAAAATGATGTGAGAACACAGGAAATTACAAAAGAGATTGGTGATTTATGGTCAGTGTATCTAGGCTTTGCATAATGTGGAGCACAGCTTCATTGCAGAGTGGGCCTATCTCCAGCCATATCTGATTGGTATGTGTGTGTTTGTGCATGTGTGTGTGTGCGTGTCCACGGTTTGTTTAGACTGGTCGGGAAAGCGTGAGACCAGAGTGAGTGGGCAGAGGCCATACTTTAGGGTTCAAAGTAAAGCGGGGAGGGACCCCCTCGTTTTGGAGGAATGTCGAGGAGGAGGCCTGATGGTTAGCTGGAGATGGTGTAATTAAGGGGTGTGATTGTGAGAACCTTCCCTTCCCCGGGCCCTGCAAGGGTCACAGATAAAAGAGCAGCCCTCAGCCTCCGTCGCTCTCACATGTGGAAAATCACAGTGACGCAGGTTTACGCGCCGAGAAATGTGCACACGCTAATGCATGGTTGCGACCCTGTGCGAGACACAATTGGAGGAGCAGATGACATCCTACCTGGGGAGCCCTCTGCAAGCCGTGGCTGCAGGTTATAGATCGTGGTTCCTTGACATTGGAAGCGTATTGGGCAATAGAGCCACATAGAGCTTCTGAGAAACGTCATAAATTAGCCAGTCCTGGGAGGCTCCTTCTAATCATGTGGGCCTGTGCGTCGCCCTGTTGGTGTGGTTGTTGTAATTTGGCCCTGCCTGACGTGCTATTTGCAGAGTGAGAGCTTGATGACACATTGCCGTGCCTTTCTTTTGCAAGCGCGGCGCTGTGTGTCATGCGCAGCGGCAGGGTGTGGCGTGGGAGGATAAGTGTGCTGTTGTGTTTGCTGACTAAACGCATCAGCATTTGTTTGGCAAGGCGGAGCGAAAATGTTGTCGTCCCCCCACCCCGCCTCTCCCTTGCTAACCCACCTTCCCCCTTTTTATATCGTAAGCCAGAACTTTGAGGATCCACACAGCTGGCAGGCATTGTGATGATGAGCCATCATTTGCACTTAAATGAAAACATGACTTCCTAATAATGCTCAGATATGGAAGCAGACAGACTGGAGCAGCATTGAGCGATAACATAGCATATTTAGGATGCTATTCAGAAAGCTAATGGGATGGATTCTCCCTGTTGCAGCACACCATTGCAGTTGTCACCCCAACACAAACACCAAAGTAGCAGAGGATTTTTATTTTGACAAAATTTAAGACATTTGAAGACACAAAATGGTGCATAAAAATGTTCATCAGAATGTAGGAGAGTAAGTGTTTAATGCTAAAAATTTCCTTGCAGAGGACCCCCAAACCCCCCAGTGTTAAAACAAATCCTTCACCCTTGTGTGTTTGTATCCAGGCTGTTGGATGTTGGTGCAATTTGTTGAAAGAGGTCAGTGTGACATAATCCCTCACTGTCTGTTGCTATGTTTTCACGTTGTTGATTTGCTCACTCTGAACAAGAACAGGAAGATGAAAAAATAAAATACCTGTCAGGCGAAACAAGTTTTCTAAAATAAACTTGAACCCATGAGAGAAATGATTCACAGGGCATCCACAGCTTTTTTTTTTTTTTTGTGGGGGGAGACAGCATAATCCTTTCAAGAACCCCCCTTCCCCAAACCCCTTAGCTTTCGATCAACTCCAGATGAGAGGGTTTGCTCAGACCCTGATGACTCTCCTCTGTCTCTCCTTCTTCCTCCAGGGTGCAGGATAGAGAACTGCGAGTCCTGCTTCAGCAAAGACTTCTGCACCAAGTGCAAGTCGGGCTTTTACCTACACAAAGGGCGCTGCTTTGATAAGTGCCCCGAGGGCTTTGCCCCGCTGGAGGACACCATGGAGTGCGGAGGTACGTGAAACAGCACTGATACGTGCAAAGAGTGTCAAGAAAGTAAACAACCTTGTCTTTAACCCCTTTCTTTACCTGTACACAGTATTCTATAACTTCCCGGTTGGCCTGCTTATTTTGGACAAGCAGTTGAACTGGGACCACACACAAAGAGGTTATAGCATCCCAGTAAAGCTCCTTTGCCCTGTATTAAAGCTTGACCCAGGGTCTTTGAGTTGCCTCTAATGTGCACTCTGCGGTGGTTTCACTGCACATCACTGTGTCTGTGTGTCTCTGCAGAGGGCTGCGAGGTGGGCCAGTGGAGCGAATGGGGAGCCTGCACCAGGAGAAACAAAACCTGTGGCTATAAGTGGGGTCTGGAGACCCGGACGCGGCACATTGTAAAGAAACCACCCAAGGACACAATACCCTGTCCCACCATCGCTGAGTCCAGGATGTGCAAAATGGCCATGCGGCACTGCAGGAGAGGTAAGGATGTTTTTGAGCCATATGTTGGTGTGTGTGAGAGCGATATTCTGTCACTCCATACCAACTCCATCCATGTTCACTTTAAGGTTTACGCTACTCTGGTGATTATTAAAGAAAACAGCCCACTCATCCCGTAGGGGAACTCTTTCCCCTTCTCAGAGTTCCACCTGTTTCATGTAACCCTCGTACCTTTTATTCAACCTTGTTTTTTCACCGTCTGTGTTTTTGAGGTGCACGGTGGCGTTCCCGTGCATGAAATATCAGTATTTTTCCACGCCGGCCTTGTTCGAGCCAGCCCTTTTTCTGAGGTATATTTTTCCCCCCTCTCTCCCATCTCCCTTCCCTCTCCTCAGTGGAATTCTTCAAAGTACGAACTGCAGGTTTCCTCAATGGCCGTCTCTGTTTCCTCCCGTCAGCTCGAGAGATATTTGCGGTGCGCACAGCATGTATGTCAGGCCATTAAATGAGAAGTCAAATCTGGAATTTCTCTCTGTGTGAATACAGCTAAGGGAAATATTTTTTTTCAAAAAGTAAACCATTTCTCTCAGACGGTCCAAACACACCATTTGGGGTGATGGCCTCAGTTAGCAGTGCTTTTAAAATAAATGTCTTTTCCCTTAATGCACTTTTACGTCTCTCATAAACTTAGGATTAGGATAGGCCAAGTGTAAATATTTAATTCACCAAATAAGGAAGCAATTACAGTGGCAGATATCATTCAGGCTGTCAAAAAAAGAAAAACATTGTTTAACAGAAAGAGGAAAATATTCTAACCTCGAGGATTTTTCTCCATTTTTGGCCTGGAGTGTTGGATGGGAGGATCATTTAGTGAAGTGGTGAAAGAGTAAATAAACTTGAAATAAACCCTGATAGTTTCTCATATTTCAGCGCTACCAAGGCCCTCGCTGCTCTCTGGGTTGGAAACTGTGATTCCATGGCACATTTAGTTCCTAAAGCCCTGTCCTGTTTGTCAGGGAAATTCTCCCCAACCCCCGCGCACCTCTTCATGACTCTTCCGTGCCTGCTTGACCTTTTCCAACAAACTTTATGACCTCCTTTAATTAAAATTTGGCATTGTTGCGCCTGGTTACTGCCGTTTTTATCTACAGCATGAAGTCACTGATGGGAAATTGTTGTGAAGTCTAAACTGAGTGCATAGCAGAACCAGTCTTCTTCAGTGTTTTATAAACTGACAGCAGACACCCTGCTACTGTCCATTGCAAAGCTCTCGATACAGTCCCTTATCCACCAACTTAGTTACGTCTCTCACAGTGGCCTCAGCTGTGTGGTTAAAAGCTGCGTGTAAATGTGTCACTGTGTGTGCATCTTAGGACTCTCCGGGCTCGTGAAGTGCTGTGGTGGCCCGTTTAATAAAGGTAAATTTCAGACTTAGACATGTGTTGTTAATTTCCCACTGCTTGACCGCCAATGAAAAATCCCCACTTGGCAAAAGCCAGTGAAATGCAACACTCTGCAGTTCAAATAAATACGATGTAAAAATGTAAGCTGCTGTAGTCGAACTGGAGTGAGATCCAGTGGTGTCGCATGGGAGCTCCACCGACTGACACTGTAAAATAATCACTTCCCGTGAGTGATAATAAAGCATAGTCCGATGGGAGGAGAGGCCACCCTCTGAAATGCAGGTGATCAGGAAGTGGAGGTTCAAGACTGTGGCTGGGTTCAAAATGAAAAACCTTGTGACCTTTTACATTATCACAAATTTCAAGGACTTTGCAAGCTGTAGGTCCCGAACACTACTTAAAGGGACAGTTCAGTCTAGAACTAAAAATGCATATTTTTCCTCTTACCTGTAGTGCTCTCAGTCCAGATGGTTTTGGTGTGAGCTGTGTTGGACATATAGGCTGCAGGGATGTCTGTCTTCTCTCAAATCTAATGCAACTAGATGGCACTCACAGCTTGTGGTGCTCAAAGCCCCAAAGAAATTCATGAAAAACTCAACAGCAACATCTCTTTCCAGAAATCATGACCTGGTAGAGTGTAGGTGACCTCAACCCTGCGAGGTACTTCGTCTTGCAGTCTCGGGCAGCCAGGCACACCCTGGCCTGGCCTCCTTCTACCCTGGGTCAAGGACCACTACAGTGCTTCACTCTTTTCACAAATAAAGAGTAGTAGCTGACCTCATGCGGGGACTCCTGCTCCTATTTCAAACTCTTGTACTCTTTTCACACTTTAAGAGTAAAAACTCAAGATAATCCATAGACCTTATTGCAAGCAGTTTCACATAGGAACTATTTTCTTTCTACCAATCTCCACCCACCAATTGGATCACCTCGCAAAAGGAGACTTGTTCTCGTGACACAGTTAGATGTAAACATTAATGGCGTCCTCCTCGGCTCAGCTGGAGGGACAGGAATCCAATCCATTTGAGAACCAGTTGCAAATTTTCCGATCCATCAGAATTGCATGCTTCCAAGCTTATCAATTCCTTTTATCAGTGCTGGCATGTTTCTTTCTGGCAGTTGTACGTTACAAAAGAATTTCATCAAATTCATATCTCTACACTGCTGGAAACTTGCAACAAGAAGGAGTCATGGCAAAGGGGACAAAACAGTCCCATGCCTGGCTTATGTCATGATGAGAGATGACAACAGTGCTACTTGTAATGTTTGTACAATGATCATTTCAAGTAACAGCAAAATGCAAAACATTTGAATTGATGCTGAAAACCTGTGGAGGCCTACTGTTTTTCCACATAGAAAATGGATCAGAAATCAATAAGGAATGTGATAAAGATCTGGACCGATAAGCAGGATCAATAATGGCATTGGTATTAATAAAAAAAAACGTATTAATTCCCATCCCTGCTGAGCTGTAATATTGGTAAGCTCAGTGGTGCCATGTGAGCGAGCAGTACATGAACACTTCCTTCTGCGTTGTCATACAATGGCTGTACAGTAGGTTGGTTGGAAAGAAAATAGTTCCAACACGAAACTGCTCACAGCAAGGTCTGTGGCCATCTAGGTCCATATTTTTCATGAAAAGCCAGATATCATCTACAGCTGATGTCTCCAGCAACTCTGCAACTTCTTTGTCTAGATGATGAATAGCACCACAGGTAAGAGAAAAAAATATCAATTTTTGATTGTGGGGTGAACAGTCTCTTTAAAATAACAGGGTTTGCAATGCATTATGGTAAAAATGAATCTTAAATTTAGAAACCTGTAACCTCAACATATGGATTTTATATTCAGAAGGAAATATAAATATAAGGAGTGCTTATAATGATCACTTGGAACTTAAGACAGTCTAAAAATGAACATTTTTATCAGCTCTTCTCAGCGGACACCAGACACCAATGTTTAGGATAAGCATAGGATTATATAACGGCAGACCGCAAAGATGCCGTGGATTAAATGGAGACAGGAAATAAGAGGACACAGCATGTAGGTATACACTATTTATGGCAATGCTTATCTGATCACCCGGGCTTGCATTTCTACATATCTACGTATTTAAATTACACTGGACGTCATTGACAGATCCCTGTCTCCCAGCTTAACCGAGGCGCACAAGGACGACGCAAATGATCTTCTTCTTTTCCCTCTGTGTCGGCAGAGATCTAATCCCTCTGTAAAACACACACAAGTCAGAGAGAGTAAAGCCCAGATAATGTCAAGAGGCTAGGCATTCACAGCAAACATGACGAGTTGTGTAAACCGTGTCTGATGTGTTCCGTACTAGTTGCCGATCACTGTAAACACCGTCTATCATTCGCACTGCTGGAATTCATTTGCTGTTCTCAGCTGGCATTTGCCAGGACAGCACTGTCCCGATAACGCACCCTGTCCCCCGAAATGGCGAGGAAAGACTGTGTGCAGGGCACGGACAGACAAAATATGTGGCGGTACACTGTCAAAGATATTTCCATCCAGCTGTCAAGCTAATTTTAAGCAAACATTTGAAGTTTGGCAAAATAAAATAGAGGTTTGGTACATTTCCACCAGCTGTGTTGCACAGAGCATCTGAAGCCATTTTGAATAGTTTGACCTGCTTGTTTGTTTTTGGCAGCGAGATTAAATAACTGCAGCGTTATTTATTTGGAAAAAGTGTTCCCATGGCTATTAATCACATAACTTCCGAAAACATCAAGTGATTAGAAAACCGTCCATGCAGTGCTGATGAAAATCTTTGTCAGATTCTACCAGCTGTTTAAATTTGATTTTCGTATAGTGGAAAATGTGCAAGACAATCTCTGGAGGAATAAAGAAGTCTTGTCTCGTGGCTGCTTGGCTGGCGTGTGTGCCAGCCGTTTACATTGCACCCTTGAGACGGTAAAACGCTCTTCTATCCTCCGGATCCCTGGAGTAGTGCTCTGAACAAGGCTATAAACAATAAAGAGAGTTTATTAATAGCTGCTCCGGCGCTATCACCATTGACAGACTGGGTTCCCCCCACTCTGTCTTGTGAGCTGATGGGAGGAGAGGAGAGGAAAGGTGAGGAAAGCGATAACGCCACAGCGCCCCTGCTGTTCCACACTGATGCCATTAAGGAATTCCCTTAAGATATTTCCCAGCAACCCCTGTCACCAGATTCACTGGTTTACAAAGTGACACGTGACAAGTTTGATTGCTCTTTCTTTGCTTCTTTTTTTCCTGCTGTCCCATCAATCCGTCTGTGCGTTTTTTCTTTCTTCCTCTCTTGCCCACCCACTCTACTATAATCTTTGAACAACAGCTGCTTCTGCCAGTGACATTAGATCTTGTGTAAACAACTTAAAATGTGAAAGCTCTCCAAACTCCCACTCTTAATGTAATCCCTGATTTGGGATTTAAAAGGGACTAAAGTCCAACACAAATGTACCATTGCAGCTTGGGCTAATTTCCGACAGTTTTTCACAAATCGGCTTTCAGATTCTCAGACAGCACAAAAGTCTTTATGGCAGCAGGCAGGAGTGACATTTGTGCAGCTGTGTTTGCTTGATTTGTAGGTAAAAGTAGATTATTTTGAGGGGCATTTGTAGTGCAGGAGCCCAAAGTTAA